GTGGCCTACATGTGATGTGGATGAGCTCTTGAAGAAACTTTGATAGACCAGTCACTACTAGGAAGGTTCACCACTGTTCCATTTTTTTTAATTCCTGGATAACAGCTCTCACAGTGAATCACTGGAGTACCAACATTTTAGAAATGGCTTTGTAACAGCTCCAGCAGTAATCAAACTGTTTGTTTGATGATCTGAAACATGCAAGTATGACAAATATGCAAAAACATAAGAGATCAGGAAAAGGATCATTTTTCAGAGCACTGTATGTTCATGCCATCACCTTTGGTGATCTGTGGATAGTGACAGAAATGATAAGATCACAGATACAAACACCAGAAATGAGCTTCCTTTGAAGGCTGGCTGGGCTCTGTCATTTGGGAGGGGCTCGGAAAAGAGCCGCCACTCAGCATCTACAGGAGCCAGTTGAGGTGGTTTGGGCAGGATGTTTCTTCTTAGCTGCGGTGTTCTGGGCATGTCCCTGGGGCAGACCTACATGTATGACAAGTTGGATTGAACACCTTGGTGTCCTCCTGGAAGAGGTGGAGGAGGTGGTTGGTAAGAGGGTGGTCCTGGAGTCTCTGCTCTTACTGTTGCTCCATGACCCAGATCCAGATATCCGGCACAGGATGGATGAATGAATGGATCAAAATTATTGGAGAAGAAGAAGAAAGAAGCCTTACTATTTACAAAAAAAAAAAAAATAGCAAGCACAGAGGTACAGCAGTGAATCTTTTCATCTGTCTTCTGGTGCTGTGCAGTATGGTGCATAGCAACGTGGTCTGCACACTGTTGACACATTAAACTTAAAATGAATCACATCCTACACTTATCAACCAAGTCACGCTATAGACATATTTTCATTCACTAAATGACGTGCCTGTCCTCCTAATTGTCTTAAAATGGTGATCATTTTTAATTATTTAAATTGGCCTAATTATAATAATTATATATTGAAACATTCCATAATTGTTGGTAATTATAACACAGTTTGTCAAGAAAAATGAAATTTTTCTCTCTTATAAGTCACAGCATCCCAAAATAACCTCAAAACAAACGAAACACATTGATATTTGACCGGCATAAAACTGAGGTAATACTTTTATTAGATAAGCAAGATGAATAAATAAGAATGTTTAATTCATTGATGACGACGCCAGAGGCCAATGCCACGATTACCCAGCAAACACTGACACTAACCGTAAGAAGTGAGCCAGCTCTGGGTCATATTGAATACAATATTAAAATCCATTTTGTTCATTCTAAGAATTACACAGTAGTACTATCCAATAAATGCTCATTGACAATCACAATACGTGAGCCACAGTCTCAAGTCATCACATCCAGTTTCAAAACAACAAGATGGCGACGGTCATGACGCGATGGACAGGGTGTAATCGTTGCTGTTTTGCCAGAGCTGCTGATGTCGTAGATAAGAACAAGGTGTCCTTTGGATTCAGTGCCACGGTGACACATCTGTGTTGGTGACACATCTGTGTTGGTGACACACTGGTTCATTCCCAACTCCTCACACACGGACAGGACGCCTTGGCATTGGGAAACCGGACTTGAACCGAATTCTCCAGGATGACGACACCTTACGCCACCGCCACCTGCCTACTTATTCACATGCTCTTTAGAACAGGTATTATCAGCATTTATCATAACTCCCAATAATGTTTATAGATCCACTACTCAACACTTATTGACCAAATACAAAGTTATAAACATAAGCTGATGGTTATTATAAAGTATTACAGAAAACTCTTATATGGGGAATTGTGCAAATATTCTCCAGCCACCAAAATCTTGTAGTGCTGAGACCTAAAAGCTGAAGTACAGAGATACAAACAGTAATTTGACGTGTCAAAAAAAGCTGAGATGATGAGCTGTCCTGTGTGCTGCCTGTGTCTTTCTGTCCTTTCTAGCTTTGGCCTCCATGATTTTCAAATAGCCTTTGTTTTAACCACTCAGTCTGCTACAAAAACAAGCTGGTCGTTATGACACTTACACAACATACAGACACAGTTCAGCATGTTTATGATTGTCATTCAATCTCTGATGCATCACCTCAATCGCCATCCGTGCAGTGATGTATCAGCATAGGGTAGCTTATCTCATCGCTCGTCTGGCTGGAGCATCTGCTCCGGCATCTGTTGTTAGTGGCGGACATTTCATCGCCACCACTTACCATAAAGCACTCCGACTAATCTCAGTAATGTCTGGATATTCAGAGGATAGTCAGATGACGAGATTAATGAATTGCAGCCGTGCTGATGATCAGAACTGTCAGACAGCTATAAAGAGACTGTTAGAGCTGCACCTGATACCTCCCGTCAGCAGCAGTGTTAGTGAGAGTGGGCTGATATTAGAGGTGTAGTGGAAGAATTTCAACAAGCCTCATGACTCATGATTGGATTCACGTGCCATTTGAAAAACACCTCGCGAGCAGTTAGCAAGAATACAGGAAAACTGAGGCTGTCATATTCCAATGTCAAAATCTTTTTATACATTTTTCTCTCTGTAATTATAAAAGTCTGTTCCGTGCTCACTTCAGCTCTCACTTCCTGTGTGTATGTGTGAGAATCTTGTGGATTTATTCTCTATAATCTTTTAATGACATGCACTAACGACGCGTTGAGGCTCAGAGAAAGCCCAGTCCATGGAACGAACACACACACACACACACACACACACACACACACACACTGTGACTAAGGCTCGGTGGTAGGCCGTGGCCCCTGAGAGGATCCACTGGGAGATTAGCCAAATCAGGAAAGAGTTTTAGAGAACGGCTGCTTTAATGCAGCACAGCACAGATTGTGTGTGTGTATATATATATATATGAGTGTTTGTGTGTGTGTTTGTCACAAAAGGAAAACACACAGTACATATCCTCAACCTCCAAAAATATTTCTTTGCAACTTTCCTGGACTGAGCTTCTTTGTTTCACTGCAGTCATCAGGTTTGGAGCAGACGCTCAGCCCCGTTTAACATCAGCATCGACTTGCATGCTTGCAGGACACACACTTCTATCCTCTCACAGCGTACTCTACTTTTTTAAAATTGTTCTACAAACTTATATGACCATCATCTTAATATAATACTTTAAAAAGTTGTGACAGTAGAATTTCTTATTTTCCTATGAGTAATTTTGTTATAAGATAATACAACAGTAAAATAATGACAGAAAATACACCCACACATATACAGCACACAGTGAATTTGACCAAGTATGTACACTTGTTACTGTAATCATCTGGTCAGCAAATCCATTGTGATTGGAAAGTGCTGATATGTCCTAATAGTTGCATCGGTTCTCTGTGCACTGATATCAGGAAATATGTCCTGATATATTTATTTATTGAGCTGTGACCAACTTGGAGAAGTCAGGAGGATGTGCAAATCCAGGTCTTGAACATATAGGAGACTTTTATGAATGGTTCTGTGCTGTCATACAACCTGATATCTTGGCAAAAGGTGTAATAGGCATGCCAGCCCGCCCTTCTTTGGCTTTCCGAAACGTAAAATGGACGTACGTGCAGAAATTACATTACCAGCAGGGGGATGAAGTACACTCCAGGGTCCTTAATCAATGAAGCTATGTCGCGAATATGTATTTACATGTAATTGTGTTAATAATGTGATTATTTTCATGTTTCCATGTTGACTTGAAATAAAATATCTCCCTGCTGTTATTCTGCATGGACGGTGGATTGGCATGACTATTACACGTTTCGGTGCGATAGTTGTGTCAAACTGTGTCATGTTTGATGTTTTTCATTGATTCAACTACAGAAATATGAGCTAATTATGTATTTTTGCAACAAGGTGTCCAAAGATTGTGGAAAACTACTGCTCAAGAATGTCATGCTCAAGCTCCTGTTGACATTGGATGGTGGCTTAAGAGATTTGCACAGTACCTCATATATAATCAGTAAACACGAGGCAATAATTTTAAGTAAAATGTTACTGAAGCTTATAAAATCAGTTTATTTATTCAAAAATCGTAATCATTAAAGAAACGTGGTGTGTAAAAACTGAATGGATGTGATTCGAGTAAATATTATTTAACCAGATTCCAATAAATTTAATGTTGTACTTGCATAAATCCAAGTCTCTGTTTCGGGCATTAACATTTCTTTTTTAATTGCATAATGTCTCGTGCTTCTGATGTATCAGAATGGTAGGTTTGTAGATAGAAGAGAAATTATACGTTCATGAACTGGGTATTTGGGCTAGGATGTGCTTTCACTGCCAAAATGGAAAATACAGCAGAACAGCCAAGTTATGCTATTGTTTGAGTTGCACTCAGCTGTATCAAGATAATGTTCATAGAATAATATCACTGCCAATACTCACCTGTTGATTGAATTTCACAAAATGCCAAATAACAGAGCCACAAAATCTCAGCACTGAATCTTGTTTATGAGCACAGTTTGTTTTTTGCAGTCCGGGCTCATATGTGCTGCATACAAATATCCTTTTTCATTCCTCGCCTGCCTAAAATTTCTGCGGTAAAAACACAGCTAAATACAGAGATTTTGTGTAGACCTGATGAATAAGTTGTCAGTTACAGATCACAGATGACGCCTGCGGAGAGGAGCCGTTCTGTATTTGTTGCTCCTCTTTTCTTTTTTAGCTTTGACAAAACAATTGTTAATATAAGAAGCTGTTTGTTTGCTCCAGGAAATAAACACGATGAAAATTAATGCATTATGTGAACAGCAAAGTAATTACCAGTTATTGATGATATCTCTTCAAGCCAACTCAATTAACACCAGCAGTTACAAAGCCACGGTTTTGCGTTTCCTGTTATTTCAGAGTTTCAGGGGGAGCTAACTTCATGCTGATGTTATCAGCACCGCTAGCAGGTCCGCGCAGCCATTGAGAAACAATTCAGAGCTTTGGTATTGTGAGCTGTATTGTGAGGGTCCTGACAAGAAGCACTTGAATAATCTTCCCCCTGAGGGCTGAAGCAAACGACTGAGATTTCTCTTTTCTTTTGAAAGGTTTTATTCATTTAATATAATACTGACACATGTACTCAATAGCGGTTAACAGGCGTTTAAAAACACAGATATTAAAACCATTAGAGCATCGATTTATTTTTAGCCCCTTTGATTCCATGGACTGCTTTTTTTTTTCTTTTGTTTAAACACGTTTACATTTTTCAATATACCGTAACATCTACTTGGTATTAGTCTAACCTCACCCCTGAAAGGATTTTGTCCTCTGTCAAAAAACAAAAGCAAAGAGAAGACTGACAAACTGTCTCTGCATTTTAAAAAATGGCATGTGTGGTAAGCAACAAACTATTTAAGGTAAAATATTCGTATGGAGGTGAAATCTGAATAAAGAAGAGGTTCAGTTTCAGAAACATTTTGACAGCATTAAATGTGTCATGTGTGGCACAGTTAAATTTAAATGTGTCATCCAGACTACATGAGGCAAGCATTCTGGATCCACTCCCTCTTTTTAGCTAGTTTTGTAATACAGAATAGCTGTCTAGAGTCAAGTTTCTGCAATTCCCAGTATGCATATGGAACACAACTTAGCCATAGAAGAGAGATAAAGAATATAGTTTGTTGTAAAGATGTTTTTTTCATCATCTAATCAAGTGCCATTTAGGTTGGAGTTCACTTTGTTTTCAGAAGCAGTAAAGAATTGTGGGTGACTGAGTCTTTCGCAGTGAAGGCCCGAGGACACTCAGCTCTGCTTAAGATGGCGAGCAGTCATCGTTTTTTGAATATCCACAGGAAAAATCACTGGTTCCTCACTGATGTCCATCAGAGTCCATTTCCTTACGATTTTATAAGTCTGTTGTGCTGTGTAAGTACTTCCACCGCCGTTCTCTAACGCTCCTCTAGACATGGGCGGGACTATCGGGTCACCTGTAAAAGAAAGGGAAGAAGTGAGTCAAAGGTCACCATTTTAACAGAACCCAAAAAGTTTGAAAACAGCGTGAAACAGCAAAGAGAACAGAGAACAGAGCCAGCGCTGGTTTTACGTGTCAGTGAAAGGCTTTAAATAATGCAGTGCTGGCTTCTATGTGGAAAAATACAGGAAGAGTCTCTTATTGGTGGAAAACATGACCAACACGGTTTCTGTCTCTTCTGGAACGTAAACAAGACAAGCTTGAATCGTGGCAGGCAGCCCACACTGCCGCACCCTCAGCACTTGGCCCTCTGCCATGTCATTTCGTCTATTTGTCGAGACGGCTGCACTAATCACATGGCCTCCTTATCTCGGCGATCCATCTTCGCTTTTTCTTTGCTCATACGCTCACTTTTGGTTTATTTCAAGCTATTAGAAGACATTTTCTACCAGCCAGTGATCAAACAGGCACAAACTGCTGTATAACTGCCAGTGCCGGGCATATAATAGACCAGCTTCTCCAAGACGGTTCTTCTGTTTTCCTGCATGCCTTTCCCTCCTATTGAGTTTCCCAGTGGTTTCCCCTCTTAGCCCCAACACATGCTGTCTCTCTGTTATTTCCTCATGGGGCAGACACTCTTTTGTCTGACCTGGGTCCCAGCTAACAAAGTGTAAATACCAGCCATCACTAAGAGAGCTCAGAGCAGTGTTTCTTCCAAGCTGGCAATTGAAACTACTGTATCTACTCTTGATGGCTCCAGGCCACCCTTCCTGGGTTTGCTCCCATTGCCTTCAGGCGTCTACTCCTGTGCCGGATCAAAGAGTCTGCAGGCGTTTGTTGTCACGCCAGTTCACTATGCACGCACACCGCGGCATCTCTCTGCCTGCTATACTTGAAGGTGCAAAGTCAAAGTCCCTTTAGGTGTTCATCCAGTTGCCTGTTCAAATATGCCTGTAGGTTGCAGTTTCTGTGCCCAATTAAAGGGCGGATTTAGATAGTTAGATCTCAATTTACAAAGCACACAAGAAGTGCTAGGGTGTCATTTCTACAAGCCTTTTTAGACCCACGAGTGCCTTTTTTGTACTTGGTCCAAAGGTTTTAGCTGCCTACCGTAGTCGCATGGCCACAAGGCAGATGTCTCCTTCAGCGGTACATTTCTTTACATTTGACACAAGTCACAGAAGCTGTGTAACATGTGATTTAGTTTGTGTGCGAATTGAACAAAATCAACTTCAAATCAAACTGAAACAAATTTAATTAAAATATTCTGGTTTTTCTTTCATTAATGTCTCCTTGTACATAACAAAACCAACAGTCGGGTGTTACAAGGCAGTGTCACCCACACTTGGGACAGACAGAAAAGCAAAAGCTTACATTTTCTGAATTATATTACAAGGTAAAAGTTTTCTTTCATTTCTAAGGTTATTATTTTTAAACACAAACCATATTAAATCGCTGGCTGCTGGATTAATTACTTCCATCAAGGAGGTTATATTTGTGTGTTTGTGTGTGTACTGTGTGGGTGCCATTCTGTCTGCAAACACAATTGTCTGAAAAGTTTTGAATGAAATCTAATAAAAATTTGTAGGGGTGTAGAGTGGGGTCATGTTAACAATCAATTTAAATTCGGCTTACATCGACCAAGGTCTTCAAGGTCCGCTCAATGATTTACAGGTCAAAAACTGGCGAAAGCCGTATAACCTAGAAGCTATATTTAAAATATTACTTTTCTACAACTTTCTTTTATGGTAAATATCTTGTTCGTAATATTGTTATACAGAGCTACTAAAAAATATGCTTGTTTGCACTGACAACATATGCAGGAAATGAAATACGGGGTTTATAAATATCACATTACTCTGCCTCTAACTCAAGGTCACATAAGGTCAAACTTTCATAAAATATATTTTATTTTTAAAACTGTCATTAAAATTCTTCTGCCTTTGTTCATTGTATTACATTATAGATGCATCCAAATATAATTTTACATTTGACCTCTGATCTCACTTTTACATTTCAAATCTGCCTTTCTTCCAAGTTGACCCCCAAGATGTGTTATATCTTTAAATAAAGTATTGTCAAGAGAATGAGCTGCCTAGTGAGTCAGATTTATCCTGCACAATATTCTTTTATATAATAAGTTCAAGTTATCCATGTCCAATTATTTACAAATCAATACCTATTATCAATCACCTACTCCCACATAATGTTCGTGTAATCAGAGTAAACATCTGATTTTTGCTTCACTGCAAACTTCCTGAAGAACTTTTTAAAAAAATAACAAAGAAAAGAAAACAAATATATACAAAATACAAAGTAAATACTGCCCTTGCTTAAATATAAGTTAGCATGCAAGCTTTAGTTAGCTTGCAGACAGTTAACGTACCATTACTAATATTTATGTTTCAGTTTTGTTTTGTGACATCTTGACTGCCACACTTCAGGGATTTACAGTTTGTTTGTTTTTTCATTCTGGTCGCTTATCAAAGGTTAAAGTGACTGAATGTCTTTTTTAAAGAACACCACATCTACTCGGTATGATGTACACTCACTGCAGTATATAGGTAGGTGAACGCTATACTCCTTGCTAAATTGTTGTCCTTGTTTGTTCACGATTGCACGAGCAGTTACACAAAGACGAACACACCTTCCTTGCTTTCTATGGCAGCTCTGCAGCTTGGAGACTGAGCCATGCCCATGTATTCATACATATGATATTATTTGGCATTGATCTAGCTGTCTTCTCACCCCTCCTCCTCTCCTCCCTCTTCCCTCCTTCGCTCCTCCTTCCCCCTGTCTCCAGGTAGGAGGAATGACAGAGAGTGCCAAATCCTGTTGTGTGTTCTTACCTTCTGCTGTCTGCTGACCGTTATGCTTGTTTTTTCCCCCAAGTGTTTTCTTTATTCGTTTATCATCACCTCTGCCTTTCTTTTCACTCTCCACTGATTTTTTTCTCTTTCATCCATCTCCCCCTGCCTCTCTCTCTCTCCCTCTCCCTCTCATACACACTCTATCGTCAATTTCAATTTACGAGCAGGTCTTAATGGGACCATAAGAGAACGTTCGATGCTATTGATCTGGATGCCTGTGAATCTTGACCTCAGCGTACGACACGAGAGGAGAAAAAAAATCACTCTTCATCATCAAGCGAACACATCAGCTAACGCTCTCAAATAGTGCAGATGCACACACACACACACACACACACACACACACACACACACACACACACA